TTGGTAACTTTTAGTTATTCTTGGCCGCTGCAGTGAAAACTGAACATTTATTCAGGTGATGTTTGTCAGAACTAAATGATAACCAGTTATTTACATCACATGGTCGTTTGCATGAGATAATATTCACTCAGATTATCCTAATCCAAGACTTTGTAATTCCAACCACTATTAGAGGACTTTACCAACAATTGGTTTGAATCTTATTTCTTTAAGGTTCAACAACAAAATTATAAATAAATTTAAATGATTCACATAAATCAAACTAGAAATGATGTAATCGAACTGAATCACCTTAAAATGGGTTAATGAATAATAACAGTTAGAAAGACAGTCAGTAACAGAACTACATGCCTCATAAGTAATAATTGGTGTGAAATCTGAAGCATCAGCAGTGAGTAAAAATCCTTCAAAGAATTATAAATAAAAATCACAAAGAACAGATTATCAGACTACAAACCCAGGTCATCTTGGCAGATGAAAGGTAAACTCTTATGGCAGTCTTCATCCACCAGCTTGACTTGACCCCCAGCCATGACAACCTTTCCACAGTGGTTGTTCAGAGGGTCAACAGGATGGTTGCTGGTCCAGACAGGATTTATAGTTTTGTTCCGAGACGTCCAGATCCACTCTGGATTGATGCCAAAGATGGATCTCTCCAGGCCGACCCAGACACCGTTCTGCAAGCCTGTTTTATTTGTCAGGAGTCTGGTCACTGCATCCTGCACTGTTGGGCTGGTGATTTCAACCAAAGTGGAATTTAATATTCTGCAGAATTGTAAAGCTTCAATCCAAGTTTTGTTTGTCATCAGTAACATTCCTTTAAAAACAGACAAAAACAGATTATTCATATATCTTAATCACTTTTGCTGCATGGATATATAAGTAGTCAATGAAATGGAAATCTTTGTCCAGAGGGTCTGGGCTCTCAGCTGTGAGAAATGATTGCTTCCTGGACTTGTTGACTGTGTTGAAGTTTTAAATTTTAATCACTAACGTTTGCCCATGATTCATGTATTGCGCCAATTCAGCGCAAGTTTACTGGAGGTTGCCTTTCAAAAACCATTTTCCACGCAAAGAGAGAAATGCCAAACCCAAACCAGACTCCTGTTAATGTTAATTTGTTATTTGGAAGCGTGACCAACACAGACTGATCAGCTTTGTTCACTTCCTTCGCTGTCATTGCTCAAGCTTTAGGCAGACTGCAATTCTTGATGATGTGCAGAAAATCCACATCATTGTCCATAACGTCTCCATTTGTTTGCTGATTGGCTCAGTGTAAAATCTACCAGAGACAATCTGAGTGAAGGGGAGAAAACCCAGAGTGTGCAATGAGTGAGACTTTATTTAAGTGAAGTTGCACATGAAGGGAGTGACCAGGCTAATGAAATGGTAAAAAAAAAAAAAAAAACCCTTTACAATTTAATACCTTAAAATTAGACCTCTGTCTCTTTAAGAATCTATTCCCGACACTCTGCCTTCAGCATGTCATCACAGCAGTACTCCTCCATTAAGCCTTTAACAGCCGTTCTTAGGAGCGTTGGACTGAGAAGCAGCTCATATGATGAGCTCAGCAGATTCCCAGCAATTAGGTGGTTTGCTAATTGCTGCTGCCGCTAGTCTAAAGGAACTGAGTGGGTGAGGAATGGGGGAAGGATTAAATGATTGTTCTGATATGCTGAGGAAGTTGGACTATTTGAATCGGCTGTGTTGGAGCAGAGACTCATCGACGCTGTCAGAACGTGAGCTGGCCAACCATTCATTAGAGAATTATTCACCCATTTTTAAAAACATATGTTGCTGTGCATGGAAAAACTCCAACATATATTGGTAAAATATTTTGGAGTTTTTCCAAAATTAATTTCTGTCTATGTTTTGCGATCACAATAATTTTAGTTGGTGAAAATGGAAAATAGATTCTGAAATAAAATATTGTGTACGTTTCCTGGAGTCAAAGCATTTGTTTTATCTTTTTCCACACCTGATTGGCTAATATGACTTGAACATGTGAACCAAGATGTAAAATAACATAATTTGTTTGAGAAACATCTCACTTACCTATAGGATCACTTTGTTTTTCTAAAGCTACTAATGTAAGAGTTGAAGGACAATTTCATCACTTTAAAATACTTGCCTGTTTGATCATCAGCTCTCTGATGGACAAACTCACAGCCAGAACCAGAACCACGTAGCTTTATCGTATATGATTGATCAGATTGTGATGAAATGGAGATCTGACTGTGGAAGAAAAATACTTTCTTGAAACCAAGATCAAAAACAATTAGTTTCTATTGTGTAAATAATAGTTTACATTAAACAGAGATGTCCAAACATTTTTGCCACAAAACTATAAAAATAAGTGATACAAGGCACAAATTTGATCTAAAACATTTTTTTTGAAATGCAAAAATATGTTTAATAAAAGATGAGCAATTTGTGTTTTACATCTTAAGAACATTTTAGTTTGTCTTCATCTCTTTTGGAAAGGCTCATCTCAGTGAAAATATTATCCCAATTATAATTTTTTAGATTGTATTTGCATTAACCGCCTGGGCTGGTAAACCAAATGCACTTGGGATACTTGGGAGGCACAAATCATTCTGTAGGCCACAAAAAAAAACAAAAAAAAAAAAAACAGGACAGAGCTTAGAGACCACACATACAGAACTTACTTGTTATCACAATTGGTGCTTCCAGTTTTTTGGCAATTCATGTTCAAGCAATATGTTTCTGAAAATTAAAATCACAGAAAGTTGTTAAGGACATATCTGAACTTTTAAAAAGTTCAGGAATCCATTTCTTTGAAGTGTGTATGCAGACTTTATTTCTCATAAGCATGCAATTTCAGTTATGCTAAATTTTCCTATTTAGTAGCTCAAAAACATCAGCAAAGAAAATGTTGCAGGACAGTGAAGAAACAAACCTGTTCTGGAGGCTGAAAGCTGAAATGAATGTGTCTTTTTAGATTTTTCTAAACATGTGAAGGACATATTCAAACGTCCACCATCTCCCCTGCACTGAAGCTGCCAAACATTTTTTTTGCAGCTAATTATCAAAATCATGGGGTGTCCATTAAGAGTGCAGTTGCTTTCATGGCAAAAGTCTTTTACTACATCTGTTTTGGGTGGTTTTCCACAGATCAGCAGGGCTGCTGGAAACAACAGAAAACAACCAGATACAGCAAACAAAATGTTTAATTTCCAATATTTTTTTCATTTTTCAATTTCCAGTAAGCAAAACGAGAAACTGACATTCTACAGAAAATAGACGCATACACTAGATAGTAAAAATAATATAAATGCATGTTCAACATTGGATTATTTGGAAACATACGGAGCAGCAGTGAGAGACAGATCAGATGCTTCATCGTCTGTAAAATATAAAAGATGAGATAAAGGTTAACATGGGAAACGTTTCAACCTAAAGTTAGAATTAAAAGTATCTATGAAAATAAGGTTTTCATAACTATGAGCCGTAGATTTCACACTGTCCA